CCCTATTACCTATAGAAGCACAATCCTTGAGGATCAGTTAACTAAACGGATTATCGAGATGAAGGTGGAGACTTTCCAAGGAGAAAGGATTTGAAGAATGCAAGTGAGCTGCTTGGTTTGAAGCAGGGCACTTCATGCCCAGCCCCTCTAAATGTTGCAAAAGTAAGCCCCTTGTATTCTTGAAGCCAACCACTGACCTGTGTCCCCCCAAGGAAAAAGCCATTTGGATTAGCGAAAGATGCATGTGATATTTTTTAATCTGAAATTAGATAATTGTTTGTTTAATTTGCCATGTTTGTAAATCATCATTAATACCTGCTTCTGGTGGTACCAGGGTCTCCATGCCTGAACAACAGGCAGTCCCAAGGAGTTTAAGCTGTACCGTGTGGACAAAACAGGAACCCTTCCATCTGTGTCTCCACTGAGCCACTCAGGAAAAAATAAATAAATAAATAAGATCAAGAAAAAGTCACCATGCTTTAGGTAGAAACAAATGCAAAGGACGAAGTACCTGTAGACCCATATTCTAACTCCAACTGCAATAAGCTTTTTGTATATTGGAAGAACAGAGTTTTCTGAATCTGATTCTGACCAATTGTTAAACATAGTCTGAGTGTACAGGAAAAAGCATAATGAAACTGTTTGCTTAGGATCATAAAACCAGATTCATCACTTCACTTTACGGTGAAACTCCTTACTTGCATATGCTCCAGTTTCTGAGCTGGTGACCATTGCTAACATGGAGTGCCTCTTGAACATCGGGTCTATTGTAGAAAGCTTTTGCATAATTATCCATGCATGGATCATAACCTCCCAGGATCCTGGGCAACTGGTTAGAAAAATTCATGAAATTTTCAGTACTTTGAACAAAGACTGTCACACAAGTTAATAGCAATACCATAATGTGACTTAAAGAAATGAAAATGAATAAATGACAAATGAATTGGCTTCAGTGCCTTCCGTACTTGACTACTTAATAAGTATATATGAGGCATGCAGCTTAGGAATATTTAAAGAATTTCTCCTACTTGTTATATAATATATGTAAGCTACAGAGGTGAATAAATGATCACCATGTTGGACGCTTGCTTCATTACAACTTTCATTGACTTATTATCTGAACCAACGCAAACTGGGGTGTATAAACTGTATATATCAATCTCCTTGTACTGTTTGAATAATTCATCCACAGCTTCCTTACAATGTGGATTGCTCCATGTATCACTGCTGTTAAAGTCACAGTTTTCGCTGATTATTCTATATGTTTCATCAGATATCACAGCATGACTCCAACCATAATCCACTATTCCTTTCCAATCTTCAGCAGAAGATGTTTCAGGATTTCCCAGCTGTTGACAAAAAGGATATTCTAGCACATCACTGAATCATGTATTGAATAGAAAAATATTGCTAGGGATGGGGGACCAAAAAAAAGTAGAAAGAAACCCCATACCAGAATACCCTTCAAATCAATATAAAGGGAGGGATCATTGTTCTTGTCAATGATGAGTTCAGCTAGCTCTGGTACATATTTTCCTGTGAATACATATCAATGAGAATAATTGGCAGACAAGGGTAAGTTGATAACATTTATGCACCAGAAGATTATAACAAGAACCTGCATAGCTTTCCCCTGCGATGTAAAAGGTCCGTCTTCTATATGAGGGGAACTTGAGGAACCACTTATGTAGGAAGGTATAAGC